GGATGGAGTGAGGCGTAGTTGCAGCATCTTTTCCAACTTCACACGCACAGACATGCATTGTGGGGGCCAAGGAGGCACTCCTGACCTTTACATTAGCCTCCCACATCTCATCACACTCCTCCACACAACTGCTTTGCCACATTTCTGTATGCGCAAGCTAACAATGGCAAGTTAAAATCACAACATTCAAATGCCATTTACATTTAGACGGAAAACACACGTTAAAAGCAAGTCCATGTGATTCCCTCTAATGGGAAAACGAATTATACAACTAAACTTGTACTTTATCGTCTCAATGTGGATTCCTTCAAGCAAGAATATAATCACTTCTCTGTGATACTTACAAATGCTGCAGTCTTAAGTGGGGAGTAAATGAAGGACAACTTTGGTAAAGACTGTTTGCGCTGTTTCCAGACCAGTTAAGACTGTTAAAGGGTGGCGAATTAAAGGAAAGTCAGTGAATAGAGGAGGAGAGGCCATCTGCTTCCAATTTTGCCCCATCAACCACGACAATGTGGTTAGGCAAGGGTAATAAACAAAAGTGAAATCAGTTTGCCCTCATTTCCTACCTACCAGTCAGAGGGAATGGTGCATGAGAAATTTGCTACTGCACTAAAATTCCACCTCGGGGATGCCGTTTCACCTGTCGCACTGATGCGAAATCACTCACAAATCAGGAAACGCTTAAAAGTGACTAAGGAAAAGTGGATTCCCTTCCTTAGATGGTGTGATAGCAACTAGCCGAGTGCCACAGAGTCTGGGAAATCGGATACCGACGAAGGTGGACAAAGTGGTGATAAACGTCTGACTACAACAAAATTTCTGCACTCGACTCTGCAGTCTGGAAGGTTTGTGAGAAGCACACTTCAAAGATGAGCTTATCTCCACCACCTAAACGCCTTGTCAAGAGGCAAGAGACTTTCATTTACAATTTCTGTGTCATGTGGACGTCGCACATACTCCCTTCCAGGCTACACTGCCGAAACCCTTTGTCCAGACTAATTTCCTGATCACTACTACCTCATTTTTGTACTTCAATGCAAAATTTGTGAATAAAAATTAAATAGACATGGGCATTAACATTTAGACAATTACCAAGTGAAATGTTAATTACAGCAAGAATGCCTAAATGCGTTTTATATCACTTACCGACCACTTTTGGTGATAACCATTTCCGTTTCGTAGGCATGGAAACTTCTCCACAAATGACGATCAATCAATTCCACGACTGGATTCTCCTTGGTAGACACCGATGAATGAGAGGCGACAAGTGGAGACGAAACTCCAGCTGCAGCTGCAGCTGAAGCAAGGGCAGAAATGGCATTTTTGGCGCCGTCTCCATGAGAAGGGTAAAGAGAGAGGGCAGCCTGATATGCCATCTCCATGGTGCTCATCGGAGATAGCGACTTGAAGGACATATCGAGTGCTGCGTTATCCATGGCTTCGGCTTTCTAAGGTGCGGTAATTTGTTTGTGAGGCACTGTTCACGCCCTCAATGTGTGCATGTATGCGTGCGTGCATGTGAGAGTGCGTGCGTACACCTTCATGTGGTCGTAGATGCGCACCACACACACGCACACACCTTCAACACTCCATTGGCTAAGGGCGTCAAGAGTAGCGCCCTGCATGGCGCATGTAGTCGCATTCGTGTTGGCCGGGGGTGTGAAGGCGTGGAACGCGAAGGTGGGAGAGACGAAAAGAGCGTTACACATTAGTGCGCACGAGGAACACCACCGACCAATCAGAATCGTCCTTTGGAATGCGTGCTGCGGGGGTGCGCTTTGTAGTGATATGTGTGTAACTGAATGGCTATTAAAGTGGCCAACAATTTTAGATTTACAAATTTGGTGTTGTTTAATTAGTTAACACACAATGATCCCACCAAGTAAGAACATTTGATGCAATTAATACAAAATGTTAATTTCTATTAGTTAGAAAACTTTATGCACAAGCCCAAAGATTGTGTAAACAAGACAGTTTCAAGGAAGAGTGTGATTTAAGGAATCTACACCCAATTCCTTTCAAAGACATGAACATAGTTAAAAGAGTATTAAAACCCCATCACTGTTGAGATTGGGAACGTTGTACACTTCCTTTATTGCTCTAATCTCAGTCCATCTGTTTGCGGCAGGATTGGAGGTAATTGTTTGTTCTGAGGCAAGAAGGAACACATGCCGTGGTTGTGTAGGTGGATCAAACAATCTTGAGACACTTAGTCGCTGCTTCGATTAAAGTAATGAGACCCAAGTTCAAGTTTTGCGGTAGCTACCACAAAGGTGGACAGATCGCAAGCTCAGGCATTTTGTGGTGTTAAAGGGACAAAATGAATTACGTAAGTTTAATAAACGGTGCAGGAAGGGTAATTTTTGAGGACTGGACATCAAATGTGGCCGGTGCAGCGACTTAACTTATATACTATTGCACATAAGCTACGCTTGGTCTGGCCACTTTGTATCTACAATCAACACTTTTTGCAACACTGCACACTATAATGGAAAAGCGGAGTTAAAAATGCCCACAGAATTGTCTTCTCTTGTGCAGAGGTCCCACCATGGCCGAGAAGAAAGGGATCAAAGGTTTTGGGGCTCATACGTGACGAGCTAATTGTTCCTAGGACCATGACCATGTACAGAATGAGGAGGGTGGTAAGGAGGAAAAATTCAAGAAGGAAAATCACTACCTCCGACAGGGTTTGTGACAAGAGGGAAAGGAATTACACTTCTCATATGGCGCCGTTGGGAAAATCAAGCGAAGGGCTTTTTCACGGGTGGTCAAACGCCATTGCGACAACCTCTGGCGCCATGAGAATGGAGTAGAACTACTAGCCCCATTTACCTGACTTACCTCTAAGCCGTTGCATGGATAATTAGTAGGCACTTGTATCTTACACGATGTGTGTGGTTCAAGGTGGTTGTGGCGCGATGTGGCTTAACTGTGTCTTAACAACTCGCCAACTAATGTCAAATGGGATGGCACAGCAGAATGTTCGGGAGTTCATGTGATGGTCGTTTGTACTGACCATGCCACACGCATTGATGCGCATTCTTTCTGGCCACCTGTTCACTGACACTCCGTAGAGGAGTGCCTAAATTAGCACAGCCAATGCCATTACAAGTGATTGGGCTTAAGGATGCGGCACAGAAGAGGGAAGCTGATGGTTACTTGGATCTGCAAGGCATATGACCGGTTGCAGTGATGATTGTGTCCCCATTGATGAAAGCCACTTCCTTCTGGTGGAATACAAAGTTGGAGGTCGACCCAGTCTCACTTCGTCATATTTTAGTCATTCCGGTTGCGATGTTGCCGGCCAAACGACCCGAATGTTCTGTGTCCGTTATAGGTGACTGTAAGAGGTTTCTGGTCGCTTAATCCCCATCACTTTAACTAGGAGAACCCACGTCAAAGCAATGCTAAGTCCCCTTCAATAGGTCACGGTCGCATGACATCCTGCCCGATCACTGCCCAACAGAAAGTGTAGTTTTTGGTGCCACTGGGAGAGGCGAACTTATTGACGCGGCATTTGTTCATGAAAAATTTGAGTTTGTCTTTTTTTAAGGCAAATCTTGGCTGCAGATCAGAGCAATTGGGCTCTTCGACCGGCGAAATGACCACGATGGGTAACCTGTTTAAGCACCTGACCAACAGATAACCGAAGGAAGACCGAGACGGCGAGAGGGGAGAGAGGACAGTAAAGTGGGTTTTAAGGAGGGGAAGCACGACCTCATTTCTTAACTGGCTACTTGCATCTACTGATTGACTATGGAGATTAGCCTTTCGTGTCCATCCTTCCCCAAGAGCTGTGGTGTAGATGTGACATGCCATCTGTTTGTCACACGGTGGTTACCAGTGGCCGAATGCCATGATACTTAACGTTCGGATGACCCTTGTGAACAGGCGTTTGCAAACATTCTGACAGTTTTAAGGAGACTTGTAAAGCTTTGGTCCAAGCGGGCTGGGATTGGAAAATTTCTCACATTTTTAAATTACCTGAAAGTTTAAAATTCACCAAAAATGAAGTAGGGCACTGCCTCCCTAAGAGAGCGACGTTATTACCGTTGAGAGAAAGGGTGTTATGAACAATTAAGACACTTCGATACCACACATCAATGTTAAAGAAAAGGAGCTGAACAACAGGACCTTCGCTTATACTTGACATGTTATTGAGACCACACCCTTTGCCACCTCTCTTGCCAATTTAATATGTCTGTCTAAAGTGAAGTCAAATCTACCCAAGACAGAGAATTGCTTGACCATAGGTGGATGAACACATGCAGTAAAAAAAATTATGTGGAGGAGTGTGATGAGATGTGGGAGGCTAATGTAAAGGTCAGGAGTGCCTCCTTGGCCCCCACAATGCATGTCTGTGCGTGTGAAGTTGGAAAAGATACTGCAACTACGCCTCACTCCATCCCACACACACACACACACACACACAC